AGGAGTGTGGCTGGATTTGGCCCATGGGCCATAGTTTGCAGATTTTGTTTTTCTTGTCTTCTAGTGCAAGCATTTAAAGCTATACATTGTCCTCTAAGCACTGCTTTAGCTGCACTGCACACATTTTTCGTATGTTGTGTTGTATGCTCCATTCAAAGTACTTTCTAGTTTTGTTTGTGACTTCTTCGACTGAGGCCGGGTCACAGCTGCCTACCTGCCAGCTAGCTCACCTGTGTTACCTGCCTGCCCTGAGTGGTGGCTGAGTTTAAGCCTCTTTAGAAGTCAATGTTAAGCTACTTCAGCAACTCAAAGGCCTACCTTCCCTGGGACTGAAAGCCTTCTATTAGTCAACACATACTGATTGAGCTCCTACTATGTGCCAGGCATTTTCCTAAGTACCACCTATACAGTGGTGAATGAGGCAGCTACAGTAGGGCTCCCACTAGGCCCTAGAGTCACCCCGAGTCAGGAACTCTGCTCCATTTCTCCACAGCCCATTAAACAGCCCCACCATCCATCTACTTACTGGCTCTGGCCAAAAAACCTAGGAGTCATCTTAGACTTCTCTCCTTCCCCAAACCAATTCATCAAGTCTTGCCAGCCTTACTCCAAAATGGATCTGAAATCTGTTCACTTCTGTCCATCCCACGGCCTCTCTCTAATCCGTTCCTCCAGCTGTAGCCAGTGATCTCAAGACTTAAATCAGGCCATGTCTCTCCTTGGTGTGAAACTCTGCCATTGCTGCCCATAGCCCTGAGGGTAAAACCCAAGTTGCTCTTTAGGGCCTAAAAGCCCTGCACCATCTGCCTGTGTCCACCAGCTCCTCCTGCACTCCCCTCACTCACTCTGATCCAGCCACACAGGGTCCCTTGCTCTTCTTGGAACAAGTCACGTGAGTTCATTTATTCATTCAACAAATGCTTAATGAACTACTGTGAATCAGGCCCTCCTCTAGGTGCTGGGGACACAGTATGGAATGAGCTTGAGTAGTTGACATTCTAAGAAAGGGACATGATGAAAAAACAAGGAAGGAAACAAAGAAAAAGATGATGACTTCCTCAGCAGTCCAGTGGTTAAGACTTCACACTTCCAATACAGGGCGTGCAGGTTCGATCCCTGGTCGGGGAACTAAGATCCCGCGTGCTGCGTGGCGTGGTCAAGAAATAAATAAAATAAAATAGAATTTTTTTTTTTAAAAAAAGATGACAGGTGTTAACATTTTAAGGATTAAGAAGGAAGTACCCAGGAGGATGTGGTGGAGGCTGTCTGGGGCTGCGTTTTTAATGATGATCTGGGAGGGCTTCACGGAGGTGACATCCAATGGAGACCTTTCCTTGATGGGCTTTTAATAGAAGACATCGGGACTCAGGTCAGGGGGAGAGGGTTGCACTGGGGGATTTCAAATGTCCCGTCCGGTGTTGAGGGTCACTGTCTCTTTTGCAACCTACTAGAAACACAGGTGCTGGGGTCAGGGGAGGGAGCACTTCTCCCCTGCCTTGCAGGAGGGGTGGTGCTGCCTGCATCTGGTCTGGGTCTTGCCTAACACATGTTGTGGCAACCACTGGGTGGAATCACCCTTTGTCCAGTCCTAACTGAATTTCCTGAAGGAATCCACACCCTCGCCCTTTCTCCAGGGACACAGAGTTAGTGCCCTGCAGTGCCAGCCAAGTGCCACCTTCCCAGGGGCTGGTCATCTCAGCTTTTGGGCCTGTGATGTGAGCCCCTGAGCAGTGCTATCTTTAACCTCAGGCCGGGACGCTCTGCTCACTGTAAACACTGCTCAGATGACAGTCCTGGAATCCCACGGGGGCGACAGGCTCTGTGCGTGGCAAAGCCATCGGGGCTGCTCCCAAGTGGTTAGGCGGGGACTGAAAGCCCCAGAGGCAAGAGACATTCGTTCATTCACTCACCACATGGGTCACTCAGTGGGGACCAAGACAGACCCTCCCAGGGCTCCAGAAGGTCTGAGAAAGGCATTAACCAAGTAGACAAGCCAATGAGTAGAAAGAACTTCAGACCCTGATTTCAGTTCTGCAGAGGCAGGAAGTGCAGTGAGGAGTGACAGTGAGTAGGGGCAGTGGCTCCCACTTGTGGGGTGGGCTGCACACTTTGATACCCTCAATCTTGGGTCTCAGCCTTGACCCCGGTGAGCTCTGGCAAACCCCACACCCCCTGAGCCCTGGTCTGCTCATCTATCAGCAAGGTGGGTCACCATCCTGGCTGTGTGGCCTTGGGCAGGCAACTGGCCTCTCTGAGCTTGTCTTGTCACTGGTAATGTGCAGGTTACCACTGACCCAGGCTGAGTCAGCCAGCACGACCCATTCCTGGGCTACTACGATTGGTCCAATTCCAGTGAACATCAGGACTTTGGCTGGCGTATGCCATTCTGCTGGCTGCCACGTCGGGACCCAGGAGGAAGCAGATCATTCCTAAATTCTGAGCTGCTGCATCAATTCTCACTGGAAACCTGCCCGAGCTTTAAGATGGCTTTCTCTGGAGAGTCTCAGGCAAAAGTCACAATTCTCAGGTGTGAGCCTTTAAAGAAAGCATTTGGCCCAGATCGGTTTCCCTTTGGCGACTCCCGACAAATACAATATCTTAATAGCCTCAGTTTCCCCCATTTGCAAGACAGGAATAATGGTACTTATTTTCCAGGGCTGCTGTTGGCAGCCCACCCAAGCACACAGAATGGTGCCTGCCATCCAGTCAGGGCTCAATAAATGCTGCTGGTCTACATGTTTCCTGAGAGCACCTGCTGACTCAAAATCCACTTTCAGGGCAACAACCATATATTCACACTGTAGCTGAGTGGGTGTTAGCTGGTGTGGTTGGGGCCCAGTGAAACCAGGAGTTGGAGAGACCACAGCATGGTCTCCCCACTGTCCCAGGAGCTAAGGACACAGGGGAGATGACTGGCCTCAGGTATAGCTGGCTCAATCCTCCCCCCGCCTCCAAGGGGGCTTGAACCCTGCCTGGCATACAGTGGGCCCTCAGGAAACACTCAATGACCTACCATCAGGGCACTGCTGTTGGGGAGGGTTGACACTGTGAATGTGGGAGACAAACAATTTAACCGGCGAGACGGCGGGACAAAGGGAGGGGTAGGGGCACATCAACTTCATGCACAGACCTCCTGGGCCAGAGGGTCCATGGGCTCCATTGGGGGTCTCTGCGAAGCAGGGCTGAGCTAGGGGCCTTCCTGTTTCCTGAGCCCTTCCTCGCTTTTCCTGAAGGTCAAGCCCTCTTTTCTGTGGCAACCCTCCTGAAAAGCAGGACTTTTGACTGAGTCAGTGTTCCTGCAGTAATACATCTTCCTAATGCACTCTGACACAAAGCCGCAGGACACAAACCAAAACTCGGGTGGGAGCCATTAGCCTTTACGTGGACCTTCTACACCTGGTGGCACCCTCTCCCTGCCTTCTCCCCCATCTAGCCCGTGCGGGACTGCCAGGCGGCCCTCTCCCCGTGTCATCCTTTTAACAACATCAGCAAGAGACTCACAATGGACACTGCCTCGTTTCTTTATTCCGGCCTTTGGGAGGGACAGTGACAGCATTTCCCACCTTGACGGAAGGCGAAACCTGGTCTTTCCTTGTAAAGAAAGAATGTCCTAACTAACACTGCAAATCCAAACGAGACCTAGGTCCCTCAGTGGGGCGGGACATCCAGGGACCCGATGTGGCTTCTGGAGGCTTCCGTGTAGCTGCCCCTCGACAAGGCTGCGGGAGAGGCGCGGGGTGGGAACGACCTCTCTCCTGAGCCGGCGGGCGGTTGCTCCCGTCCTCTTCTGCTCTCCCAACATGCCAAGATCACTCTCCTGCTGGCAGCCGGGGTGGATGGAGGATGCCTCCGAGGGAATCTCGCTGGGGCGGGTTCTCTGTCAGGGGTGCTGGACGCCCCGAAGGATGGCAGACCAAGACTTTGTACCACCTTAGTTGGCAAGCCATTCCCAGCACCCAGCGTCTCATCTAGCTGACTTAGTGGCTTAACAGTGTACTTGGCATTGTCTCAGGGTCACCTGGATCCAGTTCCCCAAGCAGCTAAAAAATGGCTACAGCCACTTGGGTTGCTCGCCACACACCTGTGCCCTCCGGTGTGATTTGTGAGGCAGAAGTGACCTGCAGTTTTAACTTGGAAATTGTGAAAACCAAAGCCCAAACCAACCACGCTAGCTCTTGCTGGGTGGGAAGCGGCCGGCAAGCCCTGCTCCTTCAGTGTTTGGCCGGCTCCTCGTTTGGAAAATTACTTCTCCTTCTAGTGTGAACGGGAAGTCAGGCGGCCCAAGTAAAAGGCAAACGAGTGAAGTGTTCAGAAAGGTACCGTCACCCTCGTTTTGGGGACTGATAGGCCACGATGGCCCCTCCCTCCATCAACTCTTCACACAACGAAGCTCACTCCTGCCGGCCGTGGCCATCTCGGGCACGACAAAACCCTCGCTGCGTCAAGTGAACTTAGGGAGCCCGACAAACCAAAATCTTACAAAAAAAAAAAAGTATATGGCAGCAAAACCTCAGGACTCCTGAGCCACACCTGTAACCTGCCCGCTTAGTAAATAAACAGAACACCAAACCACAAAAGCTACACAAAGGGCAGGCCGCCCCCGCAGAGAGCCCGGCCCACAGAAGGGCGGAGGAAGCTGGTGCAAATGTGCTCTAGGGGGCGAGTCTCCCACTCCCCCCTGCCCGGGGACCCCCAGTCCTAACACTGCACTGGGCGGCTGGGTCTATCCGGCCATGTAAGGGGCAGAGGCCTGACCCGACTCTCCGTTTCTTCTTGCGTTTCTAGCAGGGGAGGATGGCGATGGCTTCAATCCCTCTGCCTCCGGGTCAGAAGGAGACCCTCAGACCCTCAGAAACCCAGGCAGACAGGCTGATCCTGAAGGCTTCTAGCACCGACAGCTCGCTGACTCCTTTCCCCTTTCCCTGCGGAGGGGAGGGGGCCGTGGAGGGGGGAAAGCCCTTCCCCCATTCCAGCCACTGGAAGTGCTCCCCAGCGGGGTGGGGACAGGTGTGGGTCCCGCCCCTCCCGGGTTCTCCTCTGGGCCCTGTTAGTGCAGCTCGATGAAAGCCTCCAGCTCCTCGGGGATGAAGCCCTTGTAGGGGATCTTGTTCTTGTCCAGGGCGCGGGCCGCAAGGCACTGCAGGGTCACGTAGTTGAAAGGCTGAATGGTGCTCTTGGCTAGGAGCTTCTCGTCCAGCAGCTCGTAGGCTGTCTTCTTGAAGGCGTTGGTGGCGTCCATGTGGGCCCCCGCCTCGATCAGGGCGTTCATGATCCCCGGGCAGTTGTTCTGCGCCGCGATGTGCAGCGGGGTGTTGTTGTCAAAGTCCCGGCTGTCTGGGTCGGCCCCACAGTCGAGCAGCACCTTGACCACCTGGAGGGAGGGGAACCTGCCCACCGGGTAGCGACCCACGTTCGTGGTCTCCGCGTCCACGGCCATGTGCAGAGGGGTGAAGCCGTTCTTGCCGCGGGGGGCGCACTTGAGCAGCCGGTAGACCTTCTGGTGCTTCAGATGCTCCTGGTCAGGTGTGCACTCCACTTTCTCCAGCAGGTAGAGCAGGTGGAGGATGATGGCCAGGGCCTTCGTGAACTGGGCCGAGTCCCCAGGCTCCTTGGGCAGCTGCAGAGCTCGCTCCACTTCCCGGACTCCTTTGCACAGCACCCCCATGAGGTCTGCAAAGCCGACTGGCGTGCCCAGGCTGCCCTTGGCCGAGCGGTCCTGGAGCACGTAGGAGAAAAGTTCGGCAAAGGAGAGGAAGCTGCTGGCGGTCATGGGGCTCAGAGGCTCGAGGTTGTTCTGCTGCATGTCTAGGGCGTACTTCCACAAGCGGATGCAGCGCTCGAAGTTGCCTGAGTCGGCGTACACCGCACCCCGGTACCGAATATAGTAGGAAGTGTCTGGGTGGGAGGGACCCAGGATGCGCTCTCGGATCAACAGGGCCTGCATGCGCATCTCATCCGGGTCGGTGATGAGCGCCTCCAATTCCTCGGCGGTGTTCACCTCCCTGGAATAGTCATAGGCGAGGACCAGCTGCGGGGGCTCGGGTTTGGGCAGATACGCCCCCCCCTGGTGACGAAGCTCCATGGCCCGTCTCCAGTGTTTCAGGGCCCCGAGCAGATCTCGCTTCTTATCCACGTAGGTGGCTCCCAACAACTCCAAGGCTTCCACGGCGGCTTCCCGGCTGGTGGGGCAGCAGCTCTCGTACGATTCCCCACTCAAGGATTCCTCGGGGGAGAAGCTGCCGCAGCGGGCGCCCTGGGGCTGCGCGCACGCCACGCCAGCGGAGGGGCCTTCTCGGGCCAGCCCTGGCCTTGCTTCCTCCCCAGGGGGCTGCTCCTGGATGAGGTACTCCACGATGTTGGTGTGGCCCGTCACGCTGGCCGCCAGCAGCGGGGTCATGCCGTAGCCGTCCCGTTCCATGCGGGCGTTGCACCCGAGCAGCAGCTGCAGGATCTCCAGGCTGCCGGACTCGGCGCAGTCGTGCAGGGCCGTGTTGCCTTTGGCGCTGCGCCGGTTCACCTGGGCGCCCTGCTCTAGCAGGTAGCGGGCGATCTCGCGGTGACCTTTGTAACAGGAGATCATGAGGCACGTGTGACCGTGCCGGTTGGCCACCTCCAGGTCGGCCTGGTGCTCGCCCACCAAGTAGCGCACCACCTCCAGGTGCCCGTCGAAGCAGGCGGCGCGCAGGGGCGTCGAGTTGGTGCGCGTGGTGCGGTTCACCGAGGCCCCACGGCGCAGCAGGCTCCGCACCACGTCCAGGTGGCCGGCGGCCGAGGCGGCCCACAGCGGCGGAGCACCCTCGATGGTCTCGCCATCGAAGTGCACCGAGCCGCCCGCCTCCACGCTCGCGCCGCACCGGTCCACCAGGTACTCGACCACGTCCAAGTGGCCGTAACGGGCGGCGATGAGCAGCGGCGTCCCCCCGCTGGCCACCTCGCCCGTCAGCTCTTCCAGCTCCTCCCGGCTCCGGCCGCTGAGCAGCTTCTGAAGCAGCTGCAGCTTGCCGTCGCGGGCGGCGTTGTACACGGCGGTGTGGAGGTCCATGGTCCGGGCCTCCGCCAGGCCATGGGCCAGCCGCCGGGGTACTGGGGGACGAGGGGGACAGCGGACTAGCGCCCGGAGGAACACGGGGCAACCTCCACCGTTTCCCCCGCCGCCATCTTAAGGGCTTCTGGGGCGGAACAAAATGGCTGCCGCGACCTGGTTCCATTGGAGCCTGGAAGGGTGCATGGAAATGTAGTTCTCTAAGCCGGCACACTCCATGAAACAGAAAAGGAACGGTAAGGTATTAAAAATACAACTCCCAGAAGGCCGAGGGCCAGCGGGAGCGAAGTGGTATCACGATGCATGGCGGGAACGGCAGTTCCAATCACAGCCAATTGTGGCGGAAACTGCTCCCTCGAGGACTACCACTCCCGTCATGCAATGCTATCGCGATGGCTTGTGGGACCTGGGAAAGTTTGGCTACGTACTTCCTGTGGCTGTCACTGTACCGGAACCGACGGAAACGCAGACGCAGGCCAAAGGAGTACGTTCCGCAAAAGGCAGGGAGAGCGACTCGGAGCCAACCAGGAGCGAGAGCAAAGGCGAAGCCAGGCGAGTGGTCCGATTTGGGTTTCGCGAGGCCGAGCCGCTCACCGGCAGGGGGCGCTCGGGAGAGGCAGGAAAGTGGGGCGGGGTGGGGACGTTAGGAGAGCAGGGAGTACAGGTGGCCCTAAGGTTCAGTGTCTGGCGCTCGTTCACTTCTCATTCATTCGTTCATTCATTCACACTTCATATGTTTATTTGCTCACTCATTAATACCCTATTAAAAATTTAGTTTTCCTTCCTTCAACCCTCAACATCCTCAATACAAAATCTAAATTAATTTGCCTCAGCCCTTGGTCATTTGGCTGGGGAACTTCTCCAATATCATTGTGAGTAAACCTCTGGGGTTGGGGGCTTTGAGAATCTCAGTTACTTGCTCAAGGGCACAGGGCAAGTAAATTGGTCGGGATTTTTCCCAGCACCACTTATTGAAGAGGCTGTCTTTTCTCCACTGTATATTCTTGCCTCCTTTATCAAAGCAAAGGTGACCATATGTGCATGGGTTTATCTCTGGGCTTTCTATCCTGTTCCGCGGCATGTGGGATCTTCCCGGACCGGGGCACGAACCCGTGTCCCCTGCATCGGTAGGCGGACTCCCAACCACTGCGCCACCAGGGAAGCCCCCTGGTCGGGATTTGAACGCAGGCAGAAGTGGCTACGTAATTTGCAGGGCCCAGTGCAATAGGAAAATGTAGAGCTCCTTGTCCAAAAGTGATGAAGAACTTCCCAACAAGGACAGCAGGGCATTAAACCAAGCGTGGGGCCCTTCTGAGCATGGGGTCCTGGGTGACTGCACACGTCGACACCCCCGTGAAGCCTGAACCCCACCTCCAGAGTCAGACCCTTACCCCCAACACTGTCTTGCCTCCAATTTGCTGCTGCCTGCTCCAGGGTTATTGAGGATTACTGCAAAGATGAAGGAGGTTGCTGTGTCCAGGAATGTTAGAGAAACGCATGGTGTTCTCTACCTCCCGACTTTTGTGTGTGCTCTTCCCCCTGCTTGGAATGCTGTTCCATACCTTCTTCACTTGGCTACATCTTGGGTCTTCTGCAGGTCTCAGCTGAGACTTCAGGTCTTCTTGGATGATTCCTTGACCTGGAGCTTACTGGGTGCCCTCCCTGGCACCATTGACATTCTGCTTCGTGAATCTTAGAGAAATACTCTGTTTTAGTCAGTTCAGGGTGTTGTAACAAATACCACAGGCTGGTGGCTATATTAGTCAGGATTCTCCGGAGAAACAGAACCCAATAGGAGATAGGTAGACAGATAGATATGTTACTGAACTCAGGTTCAGCTGCTCGCCGTTCAAAAGCTAATACTCTAGTGGCAAATGTCAGTAGAAAGGAAAGATGCTTTATTCCGAAAAGCCAGCAATTTGGGGAGAAGTTGGACTCAGGTCTGGAGACCAACTCCAGAGATTCTGCTCAGCCATGACAATTTTTAGAGGGAAAAAGGGGGAAATTTCAGTTAATCATTATGGTAGGAGGTCAGGTTCTTTGTCCATTTTCCATGTGTGCAGACTGCTGACTTCTCCTGATCTTATTTTGGATGCTGTCTTGCACGCGTGGTCCACCTGCAAATTTGCTATGGGGCAGCTGAGGTTAGAGAGTCAGTCATTCTTTTTGTTGTTGTTTAAGATAGATTTTATTCATTTTTAAAATTTTGTTTATTTTGGCTGCTTTGGGTCTTTGTTGCTGCACATGGGCTTTCTCTAGTTGCAGCGAGCGGGGGGCTACTCTTCGTTGCGGTGCGCAGGCTTCTCATTGCTGTGGCTTCTCTTGTTGTGGATCACGGGCTCTAGGCGCGCAGGCTTCAGTAGTTGTTGCATGTGGGCTCAGTAGTTGTGGCTCGTGGGCTCTAGAGCGCAGGCTCAGTAGTTGTGGTGCACGGGCCTAGTTGCTCCGAGGCATGTGGGATCTTCCTGGACCAGGGCTCAAACCCACGTCCCCAGCATTGGCAGGCGGATTCTTAACCACTGCGCCACCAGGGAAGCCCTAGTCAGTCATTCTTTAATCCTTCATTCTTACTCCTTCTAATCTAGGAAAGGAATCAACAGGTCAGGCAAAGGGTTGTGTACATTTAGTAAAGCAAAAATCAGGAGTTAGAGTAAATGTTACCTAGTGATCTCATTTTTATGATTAAGGTTTAAGGGGAACAGAAGTAGACAAACAGGAGAGGGGCCAAAGAGCTGCTTACAAATTCCCACTTGTCAGACATCATTCCATTTCTGTGGGATTAAGGGCAAAGGTCCATCTTCCGTAACTTCTTCATGCTGACATAGGATGCTGTGTTTCCAGAGTGGAAGATGTCGACATGGGTCTGTAGCATCTCTTTGCTGACAATTTTAGTCTCCTGCTTACATATAGGGGCAGAGCAAGCTATAATTATTCTAATGCCCACACAGATATAGATTATTATGAGCAATAACGTTAATCACATTCTTTCATTGGACATTGAGTCTGTGACTCTAGTGTCCTAATCGTTAACTGCTCGAGCCCGCTCTTTTGTGACTCAGGGAGGCCTGGGAGACTTCAGCTTTTCCACAGACAAGAGGCAGGGGACCTTTGTATTTGGGGAGGGCCCTGCAGGGTTCTGCTCAGTTCCATATCTATCTATCTATATGTATATATATATATATATATATATTAGGAATTAACTCATGTGATTATGGCGTCTGAGAAGTTCTATGATCTGCCATCTGTAATCTGGAGAACAAGCAAAGCTGGTGGTGTAATTCAGTCCAAGTCTGAAGGCCTGAGAACCAGGGGTTCTGATGTCTGAGGGCAGGAAATATGGATGTCCCAGCTCAAGAAAAAAGAGAATTCACCCTTCCTCCACCTTCTTGTTTTATTCAGGCCTTCAGTGGATTGGATGACGCCCACATTGGTGGGGCTGATCTTCTTTTTCTTAGTCTACTGAATCAAATGCTAACCTCTTCCAGAAACACCCTCATAGACACACCCAGAAATAATGTTTTACCTGCTACCTGGGCATCTCTTAGCCCAGTCAAGTTGACACATAAAATTAACCATCACAGTGGCTTAAACAACAAACGTTTATTTCTTACAGTTCTGGAGGCTGGAAGTTCAAGATCAGGGTGGCAGCATGATCAGGTTCTGATGAGGACTCTCTTCCTGGTTTGTAGACAGCTGTCTTCTCAACTGTGTCCTCATGTGGAGGAGAGAGAAGCAAAGAGAGAGAGAGAGCTGTGCTCCCTTCATCCCTTTATAAGGGCATCAATCGCACCCTGAGGGCAGAACCCTCATGACCTCATCTAAACCTGATCATCTCCCAAAGGCCCCAACTCCAAATACCATCCCGTTGAGGCTTAGTGCTTCAACATATCGGGGTTTTCTTGGTGGGGAGGTGAAACATTCCATCCGTAACATACTTTAAAATGACTTCCTGAGATTCAGGGCTTGTTAATGGAATTCCTGAAGTGTTGAACATAAAAGAGGGAGAATTGAGGGAGCTCCAAGGAGCAGGAGGGGGAGGACAGACCCTCTCCCACAGGCTTGGTGGGGCAAGTTTCTTTTGGAAGCAGGGGAGCATGCCTGAATGTGGGGATCAGAGGCAAAGGCAACTGGGAATGCCCCTTGATTCATACATGGTGCTTTGAGGATTTGAACCCAGGCTGTCTGTGCCCATAGCCACAGCACTGTAGGTCCTGATGAACTTATACCCTTTACGTCATTGAGTGCACTTAGTTTTGAGTATTTCTGATTGCATAAATGTTATGTACTCTCATCAAGAAATGCAGACAAGCAAAGGAGAAAGAAATATGAAAACCCTTCCTAGCGTCCTCCAGCCAGAGACAAAACCGTCAACGATCTACAAGCACTTCTTTCGTTTTGCATCTTTCTGGTCACAAATCTGAGTTTCTTCCACTCTTACCTGCCACGGACTGTTGAAAAGAACACCTTCGATTAATAACAGCTCTTTCAGGGGCAAAAACAAAAAACAAATGAACAAACAAAAACCCACACCATGCTAAACATACGCATGGCTTTTAGTTAAATGTAGTTCAGTTTTTTTCTGGCTCCTGAAACACAAAAGCATGGAAAAGTGATCATTTGGGGGATCAAGGAAATACAGGTATTATACTACCTGCTTTTTGACAGTATAGCTTGTATATTTCCCGTGGTACTCCCATGGTATTCAACAGGTACCATGTTTTAGGTAGACAGTCTCCTGTTAGTAGACATTTATTGTGTGCCCACTAGGTGCCAGGTACTGCTCTGGATACTAAAGCTACGATAGTGAACAAGAAAGACAAAATTCCCAACCGTGGCAGAGCTGACATTCTAATCACATTTTTCCCGATAGTATTTTTCATGGCTGTATAGTATTCCGTGGTGTGGACTCGTGCCACAATTTATGTAGATAACCCCCATCTATTAAAACCTCCACTCTAGTGCACATGCTGGTAGCAAAATTTTTGTGTTTTCTTTATTTTTTTAGATTGGGGTAAAAGATACATAACATAAAATTAAGTGTACGGTTCCATGGCATTAAGTGCATTCACATTGTTGGGCAACCATCCCCACCATCATCTCCAGAATTATCTCATCTTCTCAGACTGAAACTCTGTCTCCATG